TAATTTATTGTGTTTGGAAACCCTCCACACGCTCATGTTTTAATAACACAGATTCTGTAACAGATCAGTGTGAGAATGAGAAATTAACAGAATGAAAATATAAAATTTACATAACAACAAGAAAAACTAGGCAATTTTTGCCAGAAATGTTTGTTTAGAAGTCAAAGAAAATCTAATTAGACTTGATCTTAAGATTTCAATACATTACATACTTGTATTTATATGCATCTGCTGAAAAGACAATTGTTTGGATTTTAATTCACGTTACTGCAACAGTTCATGTTTGTGCACGAGGTGTAAAACACTGTTTACGACGTGGCTCTCATTTCAACTGTCACATTCATTTGGTTCAAGTGATGTGCGTCACCACTCTCACAACTGTGCATATACAACCCAAACCATATAACCAGAGCTAAGTAGCTATCTATATTCATCATCTGCATTTCTCTCATTGGTCCCATATTAGAAAGGCCTAGAGGCGAGCGCCGAGCCGAGCCGTCTGCGGAGCTAAATTACATGGAAACTGTTGTTTATCTTTGAAGAACTGAGCAAAGCCTTTGCCTGCAAAAATTATGCAAATAAAGCTTCTTTATTTATACAACATATAGATTTTTTTTTTATTTCATAAACGCGCAAATGTGGGTTTAATTTGCAACACTGGAAGATCAAACGCCGACAGAGGATCTTAACTGACAGGCAGATATTTTTTAATGGAAATGACGCTCCCAGTAAATATATGCGTAAAGTGTAGAGCAGAGTGTGAAAGAAATGTAAGATGTTTTAATATCAAAATCCCATCATTACACGCTTCCGCTCGGTGACACGCAAGCACATACATGCTTCAGGCACGGGATTAGCCACATATCTGTTTTTTATGTTGCCATGTGCCTATAAAGCTATTCTGCTGGCCTAATTGGCCCTTCTGGTGCGCTTCTTTTGATGTGCAGGGAGGAGAGAGAGGTGGAAGTTATAAAGACTATTAAAAAACCAGGTCTCCTCTCAGCTATTTAGCCCCACAGCAGATGGAAATGCTGAGGCGCTTGTTCTCCAGAACATCCAGATACATTCACACATGCCCAAACAGACACATCTATTTACATCTACTCCTCTGGCCCCTAACTACAACTCGACATGATTAGCGAGGCTTCAAACAGTCTGAGTGATCTCCGAGCAGCACGAGGCCGTCCTCCACGCAAAACTCCAAACACAGAGAGATGTGAGGGTTCGAGAGAAAGAGACAGAAACCCTAAGATAAACAGCAAAGGCAGACGAGTAGCCATAGATCAAGAGGGAGAGAGGCTCGGGGAATAGAAAGAAAAGAATTGGAGGGAGAAACACATAAAAGACAAAATGAGGAGGTGAAATGAGGTGAGAGGGAAGGAAAGACAAAGAGAGGGAGAGCCAAATTTCACATGACAGAGCGGGAGAGTACCAAGAAATGAAAGTCGAGGCAAAAACAAATGGAGCGAACAGACAGGGAGATGAATGTGTTGGCGAGGGGCAGGTTTTGTAGTTTATAACGTACCCACTGGGAAATTTTTCATGTGAGCAGAGCCGTTTGTGCACAGTGACAGTGGGTGAATTTCTTTTTGTTTTGCCCCAGGTGAGGAGAGATGCCAGTAGATAAACATGTTAATGTCAACCTCCAGCCACATGACACAGTGGACACAAGGACACTGGCTGATACGTCTGCTTTTCATCGTCCTGATTTAACAAACCAGACAAAAACACCGGCTATAGTTTGTGTAGCAACTCATTTCACTCTTTTCATCACAGTGAAAAGCTCTGGATGACTGTAAATGGATAGCGTTTGTAGAGTGCTTTATCAGTCATTCACCCTGCATCATAGAGATGAATGAATATGGCATAAATACTTAAATAAGCTCTATGCTGCATATCTGTCCAGATAAGAGTCAGCTCCAGGTCAGCATGAAAAGACTGAAGGAGCTTTTAAAAGTGATTAATGGTCTTATTTACCTCTGTATTGTTTGATAATCTTCATGTTAAAAAGTGCACTTTATTATACCCAGACAGAGGGGGGGTGATTTTCACTTCCGCCAAAGAGGTTTAGTCTGCGTTTGTTTGATCATCAGCAGGATTATGGAAGAACTCCTCCTCCTTTTTAACATTTTTCAACTTTTTCTTTAATTTATCAGCAATTACAAAAATCAGGCATGTTTTGTTTCCATTGGGGGACTGTTGGATCCTGGATATGCTTAACTGAGGGACATTCTACTGTTTTAAATCTAGATTCTGATTATTATTTACAATATGAGACATGTGACCTTACAGAGTTGAAAGTGAACGTGAAGTAACACAACTCCCAAGTTTTGGGAATTTGCCCATTGAGCGTTTTTTCAAAAACAACATTTCTGGCCACTTGATTTTCTTCAAAAAGCACCTAGTGACAAACTAACTACTTTTTTGGGTAAAACTATGTGAGTTAAGAGTATTGCCCAGTGAGCAAGAGGCACACATCTCTTTACGTCTACTGTTCAGTGACAGTGAATCTTTTCTAGATGTTCCCCTGGCAGACAGGCTGTATGAGTGAACACAAATGTTCTGATCAGATATTAATAGTGCTTTCCCCTGCGAGCTCCCAAAGTCTGTGTAATGTCAGAGTGAGCAGATTTCCAAAACAGATACGAGGCTGAAACCCGTTGACACAGGACAGAATGTGATGGGATAACAATGACGTCGTGAAAATCTAATTTGGTCATTTAGTGGTTCCACAGTTTTCACCGATTCGTCCTCAGAGTCTGAATGTGACCATCTGAGCTTTCGTCAGTCTGCTGGTCTAAACCATAGACTGTATTTGAAGGTGGACAACCTGGCAGCTCCCCAAAAGTGAAGCCAAACCACCCTGATGGCCCCCTGGTGGCTGGCTCCAGTATAGGACACAGGACCCTGCCTCATCCATGTTAGCAGATAGGACATGGACCAAATGAAAAAGTCAAAATAAACATCAAATTCATTTTTCTCAAAGATAGTTTGTGTCACTTTAGGTAAACCCCATTACACTGATGTTTGATCAAGTGCTATTTATTCCAGTGATCTTGAGTTTAACTAGTTATTTGATGCAAAAAAAAGTAGTTTGGCTTCAAATGACTTCAATAAAAGCAAGATGGCAGGATCAATATCCAGGATATTTTAGCTCCACTTTGGTGCAACAGGAGGAAGTGGTTTCGTTGTCCATCTTTATTTAGCAAAAAACTGCCATATGCACCTAGGTCCAAATATCCTGTCAACAAATCAGACATCAAAGTCGGAGTGTTTGTCCTGAAAACTCTTCCTCAGCAGGTTTACTTTGGGTCCATCTCAACTGGTTGTTCCCTGGTTCCGAGCTGTGATGGAGGATGAGCCAAGCTTCCATGCAAAATGAATCCTGCCCTGCTTTCATTAGGCCCCTTTTTATAACGCCGCAGCAGATGGCGAAACACACACACACACACATACACATTCACTGACACTCACACTGCAGCCCCCTGAGGAGCAACCTCACCTCCTCTCTCAACTTTTCCCAGTTTTTCTTCTCCCACTCCCACTCTCTCCCACTTTGCTCATCCATCTCTTCTCCTCACACTCCAACAGTGCAAAACTTCAAAGTGGCTCTTATTTAGAGGATACACTAGAGGAGAGACTTTCCCGCACAAAATTACCTAAAAATACATCTCGGTTGCTTCGTAAGCATTGTTGCCGTTCTAGTAAATGGGTTGTGCTTTAAATGGAAGAGGACAACATGGCCGAGTTTCTGACGTGTGTGTTTTCTCTGCTTAATCCTTCTATAGGTTTTATATTTTAGGCTGCAAGAAAAAAAAATCCACCTTGAAAATCCGCTACGTACAGTATCTATTCATCACAGATCTGGACTAGACTGCTGAGAGCTGTTGCCATGCAATGAAATGAAACGCAGGTCGGAAACTAAAGTAAACAACCTACGCAGGATGCTATATATGCCTGGATTTCTGAAACACTTTATAAAGTCTCCCAAGTGTTTTTACAGCAGTTTCAAATACTCAACACAGATAATACAGACAGCTGAAAGGTCTTTTCCTGAGTGACTTACAAAACATATTTTACATCACCTCCACAGCTTCTGTCACAGCCTATGTAACACACAACCTGCATGAGCTCACTCTGCTTAATGGTGCAATTAGAGGTTTCTGCGAGACCTTCTCCCGTTTCTCCCTCTACATATGACAAATGGCGAAACATGACCCGGCTGCTGTTTTCTGTCTTGAGTGTTTGTGATGCAGCTCTGTGTCTGCGGGTGATAACCATCAGGTTCGAGGTCAACACACGCAGGACACACCACGGCCAAGGGCTGACACCTCACTGATTTACAGCACACACACACACACACACACGCTGCCCCCACAGCCTCCGTGCACATTCCTATATCATAAAGCTGTAAATTATGTGCATATGTAATATGCTATAATTTTTTTTATCAAACCTGCTCGCAGTAATGTATGTGTATGGACACATTGGCATGCATGAGTCAAGTGACAGTGACAGCTTCCTGCTGTCAAACAGTAGCAGGGCAGGGCAGACAGGAAGCAGGTTGGTTGGGAGAGCAGACAGGGGTGAATACCATCACCTTTTATAGACAAACCCAATGGCACAGCTTCTCTCAAACATATGCACACACACACACACACACACACACACACACACACGCACACGCACACATTCCTAAATCCGCAGTTCAAACAGATGGCCTGGAGATTGCATCTTAAACCAATAATGAGTGACAGTTTTTTTTTCTGTCATCACTGCTCAGTATATGCCGAGCTCAATCCCATAATGCACTTCTTGTACAATATTCATGACTCTGAGAGGAAACATACAAGACTCCATCATTAAGACACAACACACAACATGACAGGTGCTGCTCTCATGTGACAGCCACATACATCACATTTAAGATAAAGCACCTACACACACAGACACACACATCCCGAGTAATCTGATAAACCTAAAGAAAATATCATTCTTACCTTTGTGGTAGTTCACCTGCTTGGTTTGCATGGAGAAGGTTCCCATCACAAGACCCATGTTGACTTCTGGCCACAGACTGACTGTGTGAGCTTGCGAGTGAATGTGTGTATGTGTGTGTGTGTGTCTGACCGCCTATAAACAAGGTATGCTAGTGAGTGTGTATACAGCAGGTGTGTGTGTGTGTGTTGTAATGAAGTTAGTCCATCAGCCAGCTGTATGTGTGGAAATACAGATATCACTTCTCATTCTGCCTCACAACCACAGCTCTGCCGCTTCTGCTCCAGGGTGTGTGTTTCCCTGTGAGTGAGTGAGTGAGAAAGAGAGAGAGGATGTGTGTGTAAGAGAGAAGGGGAGAGAGTGTGTGTGTGAATGAAAAAGAGGGTGCACATGCACTCTGAAGCTACCTTTGTCTACGCTGTCACTGAAGCTGCCTATTTTACATCCCCTCTATCTCTCCGCCTCGCACACCCTCCCTCCTCTTCTCTCTCTTTCCTCTACCGCTCTCTCTCTCTCTCCGTGTGTCCCCTGCCACCAGACTGTCATTCCATCAATTCCTCTGTGCCTCTTTATGTATCTGCCTCCCTCTGTCTCTGCCTCTCTCTCTACTCCCTCTTCCTCTATTCCTCTCAGCTTCTCTGTCTCTGTATGTCTGGTGTGGAAATAGTGATTGCACACTGTTGCATAGAAAAAGACAGAGACGGGGGGGGGGGGGGGGGGGGGGGGGCGGTTTGACAGTTTCTGCTTTTCCATTTCTTGGTCATGGCTCCATAGTGGTGCTTTGATTTTCAGAAGCCNGGGGGGAAGAGGACGAAAAAAACTCAATGGGAAAAGAGCAGAGGCGAAAAGGAGAGGAGAAGAGAAGGAAGAGACAGATACATTTGGAGGACTCACAAACTGCAGGGGAGGCAAAGTGAGTGGAGGGGGTGTGTAAAAAGAGAGATGGAGTGAAATGAGGAGTGCAAGAGGTGAGGGGAGATAAGGGAGGGCTGGATGGATCCATCCCCGTTTTACTATTCAGGAGGCAAACAGTCTCACTGTGGAGGGTGCTGCTTTATCTGTACATGCACGGGTCTGACAGGTGTCGTGTGTGTGCATGTCTATTAGTGTGCATGTGCGTGTGTGTGTTTGAGTGTGTGTGTGAGTGGGTGTAATTATTCTGATAGCGGGTGGGTCACGGACAAAGCCACGTACATCTGACACCACAACATTTGCAGAAAGCCGCCTCGCATATGTCGGCGCCAGAGTCAACACGTTGTATCAGATGTGGTTTTTGCTCTTGATCCTCCTGACTACACACAGACACACAACCATGCCACACACAACCATGCCACACACAACAATAGCAACCATGAGAATGACGTCAGCCCACAACCCAGTCCATCTCACACATCTACTCCTGTGTCAATCACACTTAACCCTTTGCTGACCTCCACGCTGCTCTTGAGATTGGCGGGCAGCACGGACAGTATTGACTCAAGCACCTATTGAGATTCTTCACGTGGCTTTAGTTAGAAAAACAATTTACAGCTGAGCCATCACCGTGGCTGAGCTGAGGCCATCAAGGCCAATGATAAAGTCATTAGGCCACAACATTCATTAAAAACCACTGGCTGCTGTCGTCTGAATGCAGAGTTAGAAAACAAGTGTGAGCGAGGGAGGTGTGAGAGAATAAGAGGAGATAGGAAATGAAGATGAAAAGAGAATCAGAGAAAGTGAAAACAAGGATCACTGCAGGGCACGAGTGTGTGTGTTTGTGTGTGTGTGTGTGTGTGTGTGTAGCATTTTTTTGAGTATGCTCCAACACACACAAATACTTCCTCTTTCCCGTGCTCTAGCTCCGCTCAGAAGGTCTGAGAGCTCTTTCTAATCAAAATCAAACACTGACAAATGCATTCACACACAACTACACAAACACGCACACATAGAAACACCCACAAAATGAGTGGCAATATATCAACAGAGAGAAACAACACACACACCGCAGCAGCGACGCACACACATACTGATTAAATTGTGAAAGCTGGGCTGAATAGACGAGATAAGGGAGCGTGATTTGCTGTAGTGACGATGTTTAACTTCAGTGGAAGGGTTACACACACACGTCAAACAGAGAAGAGAGACACTGGTTGATCAAACACTGTGAAAAACACTGGATAAAATGAAAAAGTGGGGGAGAGGAGAACAGCCATTTTCTAACAGACCAGCGTAGAATGAGTTGATTTGAAGAAAGCAGAATAATAATCAGGCAGTAAGTAAGATACAATAGAAAACAACAAGGATAAAAAAAAATATTCTTGACCTTGGGAACAGTAGTCGACAAACCAATGGTACGAGAATCTGCTAAGATGGATTGTGTAATATGAATCCTGAAGCAGAACTTGTAGTGAAATTACTTTAGCTTTTCTGAGGGCAAGATAGAATCTCTACCTGCATGAGAAGTCTTTTCAGAAAAGTGGAAATGTTCACATATTTAAACAAGGTGGAGAAAAATAGTGTGAGCTACAGTCGAAAGCTCTATATTCTGCAAAATTGCAAATACATTAACTTTTTTTCTATACACGCTAAAATAAAATGAGCTTGTTCAATATCCTCCAGAAAATGATGGCACCTGAGGGTCAACCCTGGTGACCACAGTCAATCTGATTTTAAGAAGGTAATCTAATCTAAACTTTTCAGGTTTAACTTTTTAATTCAGGTCCAAAAGTGCAGTAACTGGAATATTGAAAGTATCTTACAATTGTTAAGCAACTGGACATAGCTCGTGTGTCATCACACGACTTACAGCAAGGATGCTACATGAAAACAAGTGGGATCTGCTTGTACACCGTAAAAACAGAAGTCTGGGATGCAGGTTGTGGAGATCACAACATTGGTAAGAAATGAAAATGCGTAAAAAGTGAAAGAGTCCTGGAAAACAGACGACATCAGCTGTTTGTGAAAATCAGACCAAAACAGGGTATGTTCACAGACCGTTCTTTAACATGGTCACAGACAAAGATAAAATTCCTTGCAACAGTACACGAAACTCGACAGAGGTCATTCGATGATATTTGAACATGTTCTATTTCCTGAACGATACTATGAGATACATATTATTCCACAATTAATGGCAACCTATGACAAATGTGACTAAATCATTTTCTGCTATTACTCCATAAAGGTAAGAGGACCATTGTCAAAAAGTGGTTACGATAAGAAAATAATCGTGGTCACAGTTTGAATAGATCAATGTTAGACTGTCAGAAAGAAACATTTAACAGCTGTAAAGGTCGCACAGGTTGTGAAACATCTTGGAGCAAACTAGTGTTTTGTGATATTGAGCTACAGGCCTGTATAAATATAACTGACATCTTCTGTTTGCTCATCCATCCACACTGACCTTCACCAGAGGACTTTATGGCTCTGTGATAGTTACACAATTTTGTGCTCCCAAAAAATCCTCACAGCTGCTGAAGGACTTTGTGACTTCAACTTAAACAAATAGGCTTGTGGGTCCAAATATAACAAAGCAGTAACACTTTATTTGTTAGCTCTGTCATTTGTGTTTTATTTATTAAGTTTGCCAAAAAGACTTTCATAGTTTCCTTGTAATAGTGAAGAAAATAGAAATAAAGTTCAGAGGAGCTTTTTTAGTTTGTTCAATTTGTTGTTCTGAGCTTCACTGATTCCTTCATCCTGAACTATCAGCTGAACATTTGGAGAAATTGAAAATGTCTAAACTAATCTCTCTCTCTTCACTTTTAATATTACATTTTCCAGGAAACATCTGTGGAATTTTTTACAAATATAAACGTCTATAAAAGGAAAAGTAAAACAAGTCCGACTTGAGGATATTTGAATCACATGTACCCACGTCTGCTGTTAACCACCAACAGTATCTGATCATTTCAGTAGTTTAAACAAGGAAACCAAAACAGCTTCACAGACAGACAGTAGCTGTGCAATAACACTGACAGCAACAGGTTCATCACATTAGGCCGGCAGCCAAAAACCTCCAAGACATTAAGCCTGACATCGTCTGTGCTGCTTCTCAGTCCTGCTGCAGATCATTCAGAGTGCCAGCCGCCTTCTCTCTCATCATTTATTAACCATTACACAACAGACCTTTTACTAGATTGAGATGGCTGCCTGTATGAATGAACGCAGCAGGCAGAGAAGGAAAAGGATGGGGTCAGTGCGTGGGGGTGAAAGGTAGAAAGTATTTGACAGCAGAGAGAGAAGGTGTTGACAAGCACAGGAAATGTGGCGAGCAGGCAGTGAATAATAAATTGGCTGGTTAGACGCCGCCTGCTCTTATCAGACGGAGGCTGGATAGAATCTGTCATAGTGATGACCACACAGAGGAGCCAGGACGACGGGAGCGGGAATTGGGAGGGAAGGGGAGACGGAGCGTGCGAAAGAAATGAGACAGAGAGTGGGGGAGTAATAACTGTAGGAAGGGAGGAAAGGAAAGCGAGACCAATAGGAGTGGAGAATTGGGGGTGTGAGGAAGATGGGAGGAGGTTGGGGGGGGTTGGCGAGAAGCAATGAGAGCAGAGAATTGGGAGGCCAGAAAAGATGGAGGGCAGATAGGTGAGGAGGGGAGGGGGGGGAGTAGATGTAATATGGGAGCGAGGGAGTAGAGAGAGTGACAGAAACAGGATGGTGGAACAAAACAGAGGCAGGGAGTGGAAACAAGAAAGGGGG